TACAACTAGGAGCGATAACTACGAAGCATAGCATAAAGAGGAGACCTAGAGTAGGAAATACTGTATAACTATATTTCGTCTTATTCTCTCGCAGGCTCAATCCTATATGTTTGTCTCTTTTTCTCTCGTTATTTAGTATAGCAGCCGTTTCATAGCTCCGTTTCCGTTTATTTACTTTTCAGATCACTTCCATTCTAAAGAAGTTTTCACTTCAAAAATTGACTTTTTGACGAAAAAAATGTCGAAAATTGTTTATAAAATTAAAAGTTTACATTCAATCGAAAATCGGCTACATACTTCTCTAGAAAATATAATTATCAAACTATCCTCAAAATTTTAAGTTAATCGGTTGAATGGTGCTCGAGTTATGAGTCTGCCAGTTTAAAAAATGTAGTTTCGAGAAAAACGCGTTCTGCGTTTAATCCGAGCGACTTGCTGGAGCGCTCATCGCACGCTTCGAGACGCTTCGGTAAAACCAAGATTTCACCATGTTTAAAATTTTTTTTTGCTTCGGAACCAAGTGCATATTGTTTTTAGACATCTAAAGTACACTTTAAGCTAAAAAAAATTGATTTTTTGAAAATTCTAGAGTGGTGTTACCTTCTTAAGAGAAACCGTTAGCGATAACATTTAAGACAAGACAATGCCGACGATCAAAGACTACCGCTTCTGAAAAGGGTCCGATCCTTTCCAATTTTAAACCCTACCTCCAGTGATACTGGAGGCTAGTAAGATTCATATATTCCTTTCTCTCTCCAAAAGGGTGTAGCTCATTTTGGACATAAATATGTGAAATAAAGTAAGAAAGCGTCTGTTATAAAATCTGTCAGTCAGCATATGTCAATATCTGTCAGTTATTCATTCATCATTCATACAGTCATTGTTGACTAAAGAACTGCCTTTAGAATTACTCACACTGTATTAATTTACTGTCGTGAGATTTCCGTACAAAACGCGCATATAATTTCAACTTAAAGAATTTGTACGTCAGTTTGAAACGGATTCGCGTTAGTATACATATAGTACGAGCGAAAACTATTCACCTTATTAATCTTCATTGTACCAACTAACCGAGTATTCGCATGCTTGTCACGTGATGTCGATTATTTGTGAGCATACGCTTCTCTTTTTCTTTTTTTGTAATTTCTAACTATTATTTCGAGGAAACTTTTAAAGTGACTCGGATCGTTAAATAAAGTGGGCGACTCGTAATAAACTATTATAACGCTAACAATAAGATATAACGGATGATAATAAAAAATTTTCTATTTTTTTTTCATTTTTTATCTAATTATACAATCACTTAGCGAACAAAAATACGAATTTTATTTTTTTTTTTCCAAGAAAATAATATTTACTTTAAATGCGTTGCACGACATTGGTATTGGAATTTCTTCGAACGTTAACGGCACAAAAATTTTTATTAGATGGTAATTAAAAACTATAAATAAATATATCTTCGAGAGAAAAAAAAATTTATTTCACAATATTTAAACTGTAACATATTCAAATGATCGAATGATTTTACATTTAGATATAATATATTATATTAAACCTGTCAATTAAAATGACGCAAACTTCGTTTTCATACGTTTAGAAAGACAAATTAAGGATACAATATTTTTTTATATATATAACGTTAAACTAATACTACTACTACTAATATTATCGTGCATTTATAATTAATTATATGCAATCAAATAAATAAATAAATAAACGACCGTCTTATTTTATTATTTCAATTTTTCAACGACGAGATATTTTATCAATGCAAAAACAAGTCAAATGCAATTATCTAAATCTCTCGTAGTAAACGTTTGAAATAATTTTATTAAACAGGTTGGGAGGGGGAGGGGGAGGGAGGAAGAAAAAAAATAGTTTGAAGGTAAAAAAAATAGAAAAAAAGAATAGTAGTATAAATTAATATTTATTATCGCGACATTTTTTTTTATGACGATTTATCCTCATCATTATTATTATTATTATTATTATAATTATTATTACTATTATTTTTATCATATTTCATGCCCGATTTTTTCGTTATAGGTAATACGTAAAAAGTCAAGGCAAATAGGAGAACGTATCCTGTATGGAACGACTGTGCGAGATAGGTGATAGAAAGAAAAAAAAAAGAAAAAAGATAAAAAAAAGTTGCTTAGAGTATGCAAGGAGTACACACGATGCACATTACGAAGGAGAGAGAGAGAGAGAGAGAGAGAGAGAGAGAGAGAGAGAGAGAGAAAAAAAGAGAATCTCGATTCAAATATATAATATAATATTTGCTCGTAAAAATAAATAATACGTACGAATGAAAATCTATTGATCTAAAATTGGGGGGAAAAAACAAAAAATTCGATAAAATTTCTTTTTTTTCCGTTTTTTTTTCTCTGAAGGAAATATATAAAAATAAACACTATTTTAAACGTAATTATTTTTCAGATTTTATTTTTTTTCCGATCGAAATATATAACTATATATTTTTATATTGGGCTTAAAACTTTTCAACTTTATCAAAAGATATTATATATATATTTGTTATCTTACAGTTTTACTAACTTTTTTCATTTGTCTAGAAAAGGAAAATTTTATTGAACAAATCTTATAAAATATTCTTCTTCTCTATTCTGTATAATAATTTTCGCAAATATGTTTTATCGAAATTTTTAGAAAATTAATTATTTACAAATTTTGCATAACTTTTAAACAAAAAAATAAAAAAATTTTTAAACATGAATGAAAATATTTTCTAAACCATAATAGACAAACGATTGTCAATATAATAAATATAAAATATATAATAATATAAATAATATATAATAAATAAATATATAGAGATATATTACACCCGAGGTGTTTGATAAATTGTTTCAAATGTTAATGTAAATTGCATCTTACATTGCGGGAGGTCGATCGCGTATACATTGCATTGGCAATGAGCAATACTACAATCTTAACAAGTATTACGAGTCAATAGGAGTAAAGCAAGGAACGTTTGCGTGTCTCTTTATTTGCCGTTACGTGTCGCCTACTATTATCAAGATGAAATAAAAAAAAAAAGAAGAAGAAGAAATAAAAATTGTAATTTTTAATTGAATAACGTATTAAGAGACCTGCAATTTAAAAAGAAAAAAATATAATAAATATCTATTTTAAAAATAATAATATTTAATTAACATTTATACTATACTCTCTTAGCAGGGTTTAATTTATCAATAGGAAATTGTACCACACGCAATATGGAACCTCTTGAGTGACCTTGTTAATACTTTCACGAGTCTCGGTGCCACTCACAAATAGTGCAGAACAAACTTGGCGGATATACGTTAGTACACACCCACGTGTAACGTTTTACGAACTTCCAATCAGTATAACCGTTTGATCTATGTGAGATCATTTTTTACGCGGAACAATTAACCGGTTGCGTAGAGTTGTTTCTTTATTTCCTTTTTTTTATTTATGCAAACAAGTGAAATATGTGTCTATGTCAAATTAAGTAGTTTTCTTTTTATTATTTTCCTTTACATTTAGAAAAAAAATTATTTTAATTAAATAATTATATATTATATGTTAAACATTATTATTTAATAGTAATCTCAATATATGTAATAATTTAATAAATATAATAAATAAAAAAAAGAAACACTAACTGATACTATATATAAATAAAGCAAATAAATTTACTAACTACATTCTATAAATCGTAAACTTGTATACCCTTTTAAATAATTAGGCTGACCAACGGTGCGAAATTCTTGTTTTTTTTTTCATTTAAATAAATAATAAGGCAAAAATTGTAGTAGCTTATACAGATCCACCTGATATAATAATTACATCAAAGAATTATTTTCAACAAGAAAATTTAATAAAAAAAACTTTTCGAGCTTCGATAGTTCTGTTTTTTTATTTATTTTTTTTTACTTCTATCAACCTGGAATAACAATTTGCAATATTTGAATCCGAATAGTTTCCAATGAACAAAAAGCAAACCGTTAAAGAGATTCGTAATCCTGTCGTGAAAAAAACTCGTAAAGAATCGATATATGCTTATAAAGGATGACTAATGTGCGTATATATTACAGCAACAACTACAATTTCATGTGACGGTATTTTACCGAACGTGGAATGTTAGATGTAATTAAACTCGGATATTAGTCAGTTGATAATCAGATTGTCAAGAAAAAAAAAAGACAATGTCACTATGTCACTAATTATCTCGTTTTTCTTTCAATACAATCAATTTATAGAAATAAAAAAGAAAAAAAAAGAAAAATAAAGATAAACAAAATATATATATATATATATATATATTAAAGATTTTTTTAAAGATCACATTTATAAATCCGTTATACGATACAAAGTATGTAGAAAGATCGGTTTGCGGTTCACACTCTCTAATATGGTTTAAATCTAAATTAAAGGTATTCGTTAAGGTTTTACGTTCATAGAAAAATTTTACAATACTTAATTCAATTTTGTTCATTTATTAATTCTAATTTTGTACATTAACGATTAAATTTGTAAGATCGTTAAAAAAAACACTTTTGTAATTTACATACCTTTTGTTTTATATAAAAATCCTTAACAATAAGTAACATTCAATTAACGATTTCATAGTTGATTAATATTTATTGGCAATATTTTAAATGAAATAAAAAAAAAGGAAGAATAAAAAATTTTACATAGAAGTCCGAAACAATCGATATAAATCAACTTTGATTTTCACATAAATATTAGCTTAATTATATATATAGTATATATATAGATCTTATTTTAAATATATCATAAAAATAATCTAAGTAAATTAACAATTACATAAAAATCAAAAGAAGTAAACTTAATTAATTTCATCGTTGATAATATTAATTTAATAAATATCAAATCCAATTGAAAAATTATTAAGACTCCGTTTAAAATGTCGAATCATATAAAATTATCTCTGTTTTTTCTTCTTTTAATGAAATTAAATAAAAAATAATAATATATATGTACAAAAGACTCACGTTTTTGTCCTTAGCGACGAAAATTGTAGAAATGAAAAGGTGGATGAATATAACAGAAAATGCGAATACCATGTAATCAATTTTCTTATTCTTTTTTTCGCGTAATTTATGTTAGAAACATAAATATATATATATATAATAACAAAAATAAAAATTCAACGAACAATAACACTATTCATCGCACAGAAAATCACACCATCTAATCTTCGACAAAATAATAATATTAATACTTCGTTGATTAATAAATGTGTAAGGAGGAAGAAACAAGAATGAAAGAAAGAAAAAAGGAAAATGGGGGATTTAAAAGATAAATGGAAAAGAAAGAAAGAAAGAAAGTAAGTAAAAAAAAAGAAAGAAAAAAAGGAAATTATTGCCAAGGGTTCACGCGAGGGATGGTGAGTTTAAATGAGGACCGAATGAATAGGGAACCTTCATTTATAAGAAAGTAAGCAAGTGTATCCTATCACGGTCCTACCAATGATTTTCATCGAAAAGGAAGGGGACCTGTTCGTTCGTTCGTGTTGTTGTCGTCAACACAACTAACTACTTTCGATGTATCGTTTACAAGTAAGCCAGTAATAAAGAGACACACAATTACAAAACTCACATACACATACAAATTACATCTTATATACACATACGATACATTTACGAATGGTAAGTAAGGTACAGTACGATGATATGTCGTTACAATACACGTACACCTATGTATTTCTCTCGAATCACCATGGTGGGAGTAAATAACACTCTCGATCTTTGATTTTCAAGGTTGCATCTCGTATCGACCAATCGTAACTCACATCGGTGTGACAAAAATGTTGTACATCTCGTTCACGATGAGCCACCACCATCACTACCACCAGCACCACCACCACGAACATCATCGAATTAAATATTCGCATTTATTTATCGCGAATATGTTATTTTTCCTTTATAAATTATATTTTTATAAATTTATATATTTATAAAATAATTATAATTTTTTATAAATACATATACATTATATTTATCCTTTTAAATAATTATAATCGATTATATTGTCTAGCAAAATAAAATTATATACAATCAAAAAATTACAATCTCCACCTCACCCACCTATCCTCCTCTATTTAATCGTATTACTTTCATATTTATCCTTTTTCTTTTAAATATTTTTTTATTTTTATTTTTTGACACATTTTGTATTTTATTTTCGTTACTTGTCGATCGTGTTGGATATGATATATATATTTAATAAACTTAACTGAAATTATTAAAAATATAATTCGTTAGGTAATGTTATTGTAAGTTAGTATGATATTATCGTGCAACTTCTCGCGATATACTACACAATACTTGCTTATTGTTCCGAGTAAAAAGTCCTTGAAGGACGAGCTCTCTTTCTTTCTCTCTCTTTTTCTTTTTTTTTCTATATGCGTGTGTGTGAACCTTGGATAAGTTGGGTTGTGTTAGAAGGTAAATGTAAAGGAAGTTAATACGAGTGACACCCAACGAACGAGAGATATATCCGAGAGGTGATTAACCCTCCTGTCTTGCCGATAGATAGAAAGACGCGACAAACAATCTACCTGTCATGCGAACGTCGTAACATTGACATACTTTTCATACCAATAACGATCATTCATTTTTCTTCCTGATAAATCACTACATTTTTCTTTTAATAATCTATTCTAC